TACCGGGCCCGCTTGCCCAAAGCAGGGCGGTGCGGGAGCGGGGTGGCAAAGGTGAGGGGAAGGGAGCTGCAGGGTTGCCTGATTTTTAGCGTCTTTAGGCCATACCTATCGTGGTGACTTCACAGTCATCGTCCTGAGGTGGGCATCAGGGCGAGAGGGAGGATTCTGCCCCTCTGCTTTACTGACACCCCACCGAGAGTGCTGCATCCAGCTCTGGAGCCCGCACCATGGGAAGGATGTGGGCCTGTTGGACCAGGTCCTGTGGAGCACCACAAAGATGCTCAGAGGGCTGGAGCATCATTCCTGTAACAATAGGCAGAGAGATTGGGGGTGTTCAGCCTGCAGGAGAGAAGGCTCCAGGGAGACCTTTTACCAGGCTTCTGATACCTAAAGGGGGATTATAGGACAGATGGGAATAGATTTTTAACAGAGCCTGCTGTGGTAGGATTAGTAGTAATGGGTTTAAACTATAAGAGGGTATCTCTTGTAATGAGGGTGGTGAAATACTGGACCAGGTTGCCCAGAGAGGTGGTAGGTACCCCATACCTGAAGATATTTAATGTAAAACTGGAGCAGCAAGTAATTCTCAAAACTAGTTAAACTGCAACCAAAAGGAAAGATAACATGGTAAAGCTTGTGCAGCTGTTGAATGATGTGAACACGTTAGTGATGGTCCCCAGAAAATCACAGTATAGCTTCATGCTCTCCCTCAAGTCAGTGGTCCCTGGTCAGTGCAGGTGAAAGCTTTCCTTTTTTGCCACAGAATTATGAGTGCCCCAGGTTGTGAGCTGTGATTCTAGAGCTCTGTGACTCTGGCATTTCATTCCATCTGGCCCTGCTTCACTTCCTGACAGCTGGATGGCAAATACCAGCTCAGTGTCAGACAATGCATAAGTATGGGAAAAAACCCTTAGTTATGAAACCACCAATCTCTCTAGACAGTTGTCTACTTAGTTAATGTGTTCCTCTATCTGGATTGCAGGGCAGAAATTCATGACGTCCTAGAAGAGTATAAAGAAGGAGCTGCAAAATTTATGGGTAAAGTACAAGTACTTGCTTGTATATCTGAGAGATGATGCAGGTGGATCCCACTAGAGCATGTTCAGATAGTATGGTAGGCAGAAAGATGTAGGCTTTGCACATTTAGGGATTTTCTCAATCAAAGTGGCACTAAGGAAGACTTGAAATTGTATGTTGTCACTACTACGGCAAAAAATCCTTCAATCAAGTAACAGAGTGATGATGTGTCTGTAATTTCTATAAATTACCGGCAGTTCTTTGTGTATGGAATCTAGCACATTTTACAAGAAAAAAAATGAGTTGCCTAGGCTTGTTTTTTTTTGTTTTAGTTTTTTAAAAAGCACATAAAATTTTGGGACATACATTTCATTATGTATAAAAAAAAATTATGGGGTGGTTTTCCAAAGGAAGTTTGCACCCAAATTTCAATAAACCATACCTCTTTGGAGCAACTTATTTCTTCAAGAAAAATTGAGAAATGTATTTGTCTGGAACTTCCTGGAGGCTTTACCAGTTTCAGTGACTGTCTCTGAAGAGGAGGCTGTATGTCATGGAGGCATACTGTCTAGCTCTCTGACATTTGAAACCTCCAGTCCAGCAGGGATGATAAATTTCTCATTTGTGTAGTTGAAACATTTTCTAACTCTCCTGTTCTCACTCTTGTGAGGGTGGTGAGCCACTCAAGTTGCTCAAAGAAGTTGTGCATGCCTGGAAATGTTCCAGGCCAGGTTGGATGGGCTTTGAGCAGCATGGTCTAGTGCAAGGTGTCCCTGCCCATGAGGCATGATCGCTCAGGTCCCTTCCAAGCCAAACCATTCTATGATTCTACTTTGTCCTTCCTTAAAAGTTCTAGGCTTGGGATTGTTGCTAGTTTGGGTTGTGTCAAGTGTCAGGTGTCTCCAGCAGTTATCAGTTGAGAGCCAAGTGAGTCAGCTGTTGGATCTGGAAAATTTTAATTGGTAGAGTATTAATCAAGAAGTAACGTAAATAAATCCCAAAGCAGCTATGCAGGCTGCAGAACCAAAGAGTTGTTTCATGGTTTGTGCTGCTGCTACTGCACTCTTCTCCAGGCAGTTAATAAAGCTGGGGAAGAAATCTGTCTTCTTTGGTGCTGAGAGATAGATGAACAGTATTTTCTTTGTCAGAATGGATGTATTTGTGTGGGGGACAATACCCTGTTCCATTTTGCAGATCTGCAAGCCACATCTTTGTTTTAGCTTTGCTGTCGTTCGTGAAACTCTGCTCTGGACCTATCTCTCTGTTTTCAGGTATGCCAGATGCTGTGATCTACTGCTCCCTTCATGACCCAGTCACTCCCTGCCCCTCTGGCTACAACACTAACAAGGTACAGTAGCTGTAAAGACTTGAAAGGGTCCACCTAAAGTTCCCAAAAGAAATCTGCCAATCCTCCCTTCATCTTTGTGGGTGTGCTCAGATAGCCATAAGATTAGCAAAATAAATCTTTGCACAAAGAGGATTGTCATTTACATGTTCATACCTCCAACTAGATGAAGCTTTACATGTTCTTATTGACAGCATGTTCCCTGGATGGTTCCTGAGCAGTTAAATGGCAATTCAGGTAGAAAGGAGAACTTTGGGCTACCATGCTGTTGTGGTTTAAATGGCAGTAAAAGAAAATATCTGTGTTTTGGCATGTTTGCTGTACAAGCTTGTGCTTATGCCACTGATAAGCAGTAAATCTGAAGCCATGTGTTTATTTAGATACAGCCTGCTACAGGCCCACAAAGGGGAAGGACATCAGAATTTTTGCAGGAGGGTGGCTCAGCAATCCAGGAGTGCATAGTTGCAGGCATTTGCCTGTTCCACCCCACAGGCACACACTGCTGTGAAATCCACACACTGCCTGCTGCCTGACACAGCTCCATGCTGGAGCTCCTGGCACCTGCTCACACACATCAGTCCCATGGGCTGTTTGGTGGAAGGTCACTGAGTGATGGAGGATAACTCCTGCCAGACAGCTGTCAGTGTGTATTCCTTGCTGCTGGGATCCAGGCTGAGCCCTGTCCCTCTGCAGGGAAGGAATTACCTGAAGCTTGTCCCACTGTTGTGCAGCTTTGAGGTGAGAGCAGCAATCTAAACCTGGGTGTTGGGAGTTGATTCAGAGGTTTTTTGGGTTTTTTAAATAAGCTGGTGAAGATATCTGTCACCTTGTTGTAAGGCCTCCTGCAGCTGGATCTGTGCTGACAAATACTTATGAAAGCTTTTTGAAAGCCATGGGACAGAAAGCTCTGTGCTAGAAAGCCTAGCACTGGCTGGATTTAAATAATCACAGGATAATGCTCAGCTCTCTAAGCTGCATGGCTATTTTATTTATTAAAGCAGCTTTTTCCCTCTCGAGAACAGAATGAAGGTAACTAGATGTGATTACACTCTGCCCTTTGGCTCAGACAGCTCTGACTTTCCTCTGCCTGCCTTCACCAGCTGTTCCTTGATGCTCTCATAGTAAGAGTCAGCAGGTACTGTCTGAACATCATGCTGCTGCAGAAAAACATACAGCTGCTGTGTTTCAGTTATTCTGTAGATGCAAATTTTGCAGCTCCTTTTGGAGTTGCGCTTTTTTTTTTTAGTTGGAAATTTGCAAAACATTTTATTGCTTTGGAGGCTTCTGGTTTTATTCAAATTTGGTGAAATTGGCTGATAAGGCCAGAAGTAATCCGGATGGATGGATGGACAACAGGCACGTGGTATACTTGTGCAGTCCTTTTGGGTCTTTGTGGGGATCAGCCCAGAAATAAAAAAGGGCTTCTGCTCATATTTTTTGCATCTGCTGATGAAATTCAATTTGCAAATTAGTATACATGAGAACTGCACTGCTTAATCTGTCTGGCACAGGCTAGGAGAATGTGTTTATACCCTCAGGCCCTAAAAAGTGCCCATAACACTCCAAGCTATATGCTGTTCCTGGTGGCTGAAAATCCCTTCTCATTTTAAAAGGCACGAACAGAATTGCAGATGAAAGGAGCTGACTTCCGAAGGGCTCAAGCCCTTGACTTAACCTACTTGAATACCCCTTTAAAGTTTTGGAGCAGCAGTTTCACAAGCCTAACAATAATACAACCAAAGCAGTGGCCAAGCTGCACTCACAGATTCTCCAGAATAGGCTAAAGTGTGAACATTTTATGAATCTGAATGCTTAGTAAATTGAATGGTGACATATGCTAGGCGTTCAGGTAAGATACCCTCCCTGTCCACATGCTTTTGTCTTGCTGTAAATTCTTTTGAAGGTGTCACGGAGTAGTGATGGAAGATGGGGTCCCATGTGTGCTGGCATGATGGGAGGCATGTGAAGAGACAGGGAAGATCGTGTGTGAAATCCTCATGAGCCATTCCTTACATTGACTTGGTTTGGGTATTTCAGTGCCTTCTAGAGTTGCTGGATTTGGGACCTATAATAACATGGGGTTCTAAGACTGAGTGTTTAACAAGCTTTTGTATTCTTCCCAGACTGCATGGTTTATATAAATGCAAACATTCACATGTGTTCACATTCACATTATACACATTCACATGTGTTGTGTGAGTTAAGTGCTCAGAAGAGAAAGTAGTTTCTTGGGTTTGCATTTTGTACAGAAAACTAGCAAGTTGTATTTGCCATTGCAGCCTTTGCTGCTTTTTATAAGCTTTTACTTACTTGACAACAAGTTTGGTGGTAATTCAAGCTTTTTTTTCCCCCAGTTCTGCCACTAATTTGTGTGATGAGAGGCCAGCTGCTCTATTTTGGATTTTTAAATGTGGAGAAGTTAGTGTTGAGTGGGATGGTTTCACCAAAGAGTATCGTAGAAGTTTCAGTTCAGTCATTTATCTCCTTTCATTGTGCCAAGTGCAGCTGATTATCTGAGCCGTGCTCCAGGGGAACTTGTCTAATGAGCTATCATTCCAGTAGCTGGTGTGTCACCAGACCAGTTCCTTCTCTCCTCTCACCCTTAAGACACCCTTGCTGTCATTTGCGACTGCTGTTGGTCCCTGTTGTCCCTGCACAGAAGGTCTCCCTGTGGGGCAGCTCAGGGCGCATGGAGGTGACAGCTTCCAAGTTCATGGACATCCAGCGGGCCATCCAGCCAGATTGGTTCCAGTGCATCTGTGATGGAGACACCATTTCTGGGGAAGCTGGCAGAAAAAGAGCCAAGAAGTCTGTGGATAGGTCACTTTCCTTCTTGGATATATGCCTTCAGCTGCAAGAAAAATCACCGGTAAGCTCCCCAAGATACTGAGGCAATATCTCTGCAAGTGCTTCTTGGTCCATGCTGTGTCCTGGACCAGCCCCAGGAAATTGTAGTAGGAAGTTGGGTCACTTGTAAATCAGAGAATGCCCAGCTTACAGTCCAGAGTGGGTATAACCAGTAGCACAGTGAGTTTTCCTTCCTTCCTTTAGTAAATTGTCTTCTGCACCAGGATCACCCCTGATCTCTACTTGTTGAGGAGAACTACATTTTAAGATTTTTCTTTCTGATTTTGGGTTGTGATGCATTTCTTTCACTTACCTTATTATTAGATGTATTGGCAAAGTGGGATCTTCTTGTTCAGATTAAGAAAACCCATCTTTATGCTCTGAAGTCCCCTTGGTTCCAAGTGAGGGAGAATTAGTAAGTGCTATTCTTTATTTCTTCCAGCAGATTTTAAACTTTCCTCCCTCTTAGTGATAGGAGACATACTATTTGAGTCTGCACTACAAGAGAAAACAGGTGACAGGAGTTAGTGTGTGGGTCTCCTGAAAGGGAATTCCCTGTGACATCTGGTGTCTGTGAGAACCAGGATAATGGCACCTGCTTTGTATTTTGCACTGACACATGCATTGCTGAGACCCCTATCCATAAAAAGCCATGTACAAAAATGATGTGTGCTTATTGCCTTCTGTAGGGAGGTGGGAAGAGTGGCATCAGAACTCTCAGTGAGTTAGTGTCAAGGCAAGGAGCAGAACCTTGCCTCTGCTAGTCTCATTTCTGCCACATGGACTTGTGTGGGGAATAGTCTTGCACGAGATGAAACCCCATGGCTCTGGCAATTTCCTGGGAATGTGGGGCTTAAGCAGCAGGCATCTGAAGTCTGGGCTGTGAGATGCCTTTCATGTCTTTGGCAGAGCATGCTCTAACGCTTGTAGCTTTCTCCTGGGACAGGAACTACAAGGAAGTGTAATGTTTGGGGCAATTGAAGGCGGAGATGTCTTGGAAGAGAGGCTCAGATCAGCCAGGGAGACTGCCAAGCGGCCTGTGGGTGGCTTTCTGCTAGATGGCTTCCAGGGAAGTGCCATGGCCAAGGACACCAAGTTGAAACTGATAGCTTCTGTCACAGCAGAGCTGCCAGAGGATAAACCAAGGTAAGTTGTGTGGGCAACATCCCAAGAAATCCATCTGTTCTATTATGAGGAGCATCTACAGGCTGCTGTGCAGTTTCTCTGTAGGAAATAATCACTGTATTGCACAGCTTTATGTGTGCCAGGCTGCATAAATTTTACCATTGTCAAGCTGCAGTCTTCAACACTTGTTTCAGATTTTAGCTGCAGCTGGCACCCGGCTTTGCTCATACTGTGGGTTTGAGGAAAAGTTTTTAGGAAGAGTTACGGGTAGGATATATCAGGGTTACTTGCATTTGGAGGCCATGGTTTACTTGAAGTTCATCTCAAACAAAAATATTATTATCAAGGTATTTTACAGGGACTTCTTCTCAGTAAAAGTGTCATTTTTCCAGTTCTCTCTGGTCTGAACTGGCAGATGGCAGAGAGGGATGCTGGCAGAACCAGCCAGTGCTGGCTACACGATCTTGGTAGCCAGCTCTGTCCTAGTACGTGAGGCACTGAGCCTGTGTGCTACCAGGGTGGTGCAGGCTGGCCCAGAGCAGTGCTATTCTCTTCTTGGACAGTCTGGGGTTCACTGCCTATCTGAGTTGTTAGCTGTGCCCATCAGACCCATGCCAAGGACTGGACTGGAGTGGCAGCTTTGTTAATCCTTATAGCTGACTTAAAGTAACCAAAGACTTCGTGAAAATGTGTGCTAATATTTGCTAGTGGTTCAGAAGTGTAGGAGTTTCTTTATTGATTTGAGCTCGCTGGATTGTTCTTACCAGAGCAACTGATACAGAAATAATATGGTTGCTTTTTTCATCATTTCCTGAAGAGAATGACTGAGGCCCCACTGTGTTCCTGCTTCCCTCTGCTTGCAGAGCATTGCTCTGACCTAATGGTGTTTAAAAGGAAATTAAGTGCAAGAGCACTGTGTCTGATGCTGTAGCTTGTTCTTGCTCAGAGGTGCTTGGGGTTTGAATTTTCCTGACAATTGTGTTGTTGCTATTCTGTCTGGTTGAGCTACTTAAAAGATCCCCTGGGAGCATTAGAGTCCAATCTGCTCAGCTAACCTCAGTGTCTACCCATGCATCTGCCTCATCTATCAGATAGTTTGCTTGTCTTGTTAAGACAGGTGTTTCTGACCTCTTGGTAGGAAGAGAGCTGGTTAGCCCCGGGGGTCTTGGAGGTACCTCACGTGAATTTCAGGCAGCCATTGCTCCTGAATCATCCTTGCCATTCTGGCTGGAGAGGTTGTTCTTCATCTCTGTTCTACCCCAGCATGAAATGCTCTAGAAGACAAGCAGTGTTTGTGCTTCACTCAAGAAGTAGCTGCTTTTTGTGTGATTGTAAAATGATCTTATGAGTGTACTCTTTATAAAAAATCCTTTCATGCACCTAAAGGGGCTGAAGTCACTTGATAAAATTTGTTTTCCTTTCCAATAGCATAGGAACCCTTGCAAGAACAAATGTTTGTCCTTACCTGTGCAGAGATGAGTTTCAACAAGGCTTTGATCATATATGCAGAGCTACTGTTTTGACTTTTGCATTTCATTTTCTCCCTGTCATGGGAACCTGAACATAAAACACTCATGGCTGTAAATTTCTCTCCTTATCTGTGCTCATCAATTTAATTGGAGTACTTAGAAAAGTGACTAAAAATGGCACCTTGTGACTTCATTTATCAGCCCCTGTGTATTTTCCTAATTATCTGTTTAGCTCATTGCCCTACATTAACTTCTACTGCTTGCAGCCTATGCACCTGTAGGAGAGCAGGCACTGCTCTACTCTCTTACACTTCACCCACCCTCGGTGAAGCTGCCAACTGAATTTGGCTGCCAGCAGGATCTCTATTACCACTGATGGCAATCCAGGAAGAGCCTGGCTCTTAATGCCATGTCTCAGAGGATGTTACAGCCCACGTTCTTGGGTAAATCATTTGAGCAGTTAGAGTGTAAAGAGAAGGGAAGACTAAAGCAAGGATGTTTTCTCTTTCTAACAATGTTTTTCATTAGTATGTTCTCTCCCAGGCAGTTTTCCAAGTGCTATAGGATGTGTCTGTCACCTGAAGGAATTGTATCTTTGACTAGCCATCTACTGCTGTCTCTGTTGAGACTCTTTTTAAGCAGCTAACAAGCAAAAGGGTCCATGTGTCTGGGAATTAGTAGCTCATTGGGTCACAAACATGATTAAGGAAAATATCTGCTCTATGGCACAGATGTTATGAATCTAATGGTATTTATGTGTATGTGAAAAAAAATCACATACAAATCACTTCAAACACAATGAACAGAATGGGGTTTTTCCACAGTAAATGAGGGATTTTTGCCTGTCTTCCAAAGGACAAATAATGAAAAGCCTGTTGGGTACTGGGCATGTGGGAGGTGGGGAAGCAGAAGCACATGGAATTCTGAGTGATGACTGTTAGCAGTTGCAGAGATAAGCTACATGTGCTGCACATGGCATGGAGGTCTTTTCCTTCAGGTACCTGCTTGCTTCTACTCAGATTATTGTAGATTTTTCTTCCTGTGTGTCTTCTACAGAATCATTCATGGTGTAGGCAAGCCAGATGAGGTGCTTGAGTGCATTGAAAGGGGAGTGGACATTTTTGAGAGCTTCTTTCCCTTCCAAGTGACGGAGCGAGGCTGTGCCTTGGTTTTCAGTTACAACTGCCATCCAGATCCTGAAGCAACAGGTAGGCTTCCTGATGGTTGTTACACTTTTAGCATTTTGTATTGTGGTAAGCTTAATTCATACTTGGGAGCAATCTGTATTTGAGGGCTTTGTTCCTGAAATAAGTGCAGTGACCACTGGCAAACCTGGGATTCCACTACCACATGTTGCTTTTGAAGGCAGGGTGCTTTGGTGTGATATCTGTTGAGTAAAACTTGAGGATTCTGAATGTCTCATTAGCCAAAGTATGATCATTAAATATTTCTTAAACACCTCCTGAATAGAGGGGTTTTAGTTTGATGCCATTGGCAAATTTTATGTTACTGTTAGCAGTGAAGGCTGGACCTATTAAGTGATCTCTAGCATTAAATTATTATGTGTCTGTTGTAGTAATATATTTTTGTTCTTTTTTCTAGCTGTCAGAAGTTTCCCATTTATTTGGGCAGTTTTCCTCTCTGTCCTTGCATTCATAGGTTTATATCAAAACCAAAATGCTCTGTTCATTATACTGTGAGATGGGAATGTGTATCACCCATTAAAGCACCTATCAAATGTGTTTCCAGCAGCCGTTTTGTTTTGGCCTATTAAATGTTTTTAATATAGGGAAACATTTCACATTTTTTCTCTTGGGTAGAACCTAGTGGCTTTTCATGCCTGGATAATTTAGAGCCAGCTGAATAGAACAGAACATCTTGTTTCTTCATGCTGGCTGGTTTTTTTTTTTAACCCTTTTCTTTGTTTGTTGTTCTTTATCTTGTCTTTATTCTTAAATTATGAGGCTCTGGGTAATGGCAGTGGTTTTGTCCCATGTCTGTTTTAAACACGGTAGGCATGGATTATGCAAACATTAATATTGGTATTTCAAGATACATCTCCTTCTCCTTTAGAACAAACTCAAAAAAGCAAACCTATAAAATCATGGGATAATTCTTTATTTTTCAGATAGATGCTGCAAAGGCAGATGTGACCCACCTCTTCTGAATTAGTGCTACCAGCCTCTTTTGATTCCATTTTTTTTTTTTTTTAAACAAACCAAGAGGCATCTAAATCCCTGGATTATCACAGCATGGAAAGTAGAATGATTGAATGCAGATGAGTTGTCTGTCTACTCTAACAAAATCTCAATAAAATCCATTTGTTCAGGTGATAGCATTCTATTCAGCATGCAGTTCAGACAAAATACTTTTGACATTTTATAAAGAATTCAGCTCAGTAGAGCAGCAAAAAGTTATACTGTTGTTTCAGCTCTAACTTTTGATTTGTTCTAGTTGATTAGTTTTCACTTGTCTCTTGCTGTTTTGATCATCTAAAAGTGTATTTGTGTTAACTAACCTACAGCAATTAAAGTAAAATACCTGCTTTCTAGAAAAGAGAGGTGGATACTTGTGGCAGGAGTTTTCAGCTGGCAAGGAAGCAGCAGAAATATATTCTGTAAGGTTGCTACCCTTGCTCTGCTCTTGCTTTCTGTTCTAAGGCTGTTGTTTTTTAAATTTCATCAGTTTTAACACAAAATGGGATCCAGGACCTGGAGAAGAATGGTGCTCGAGAAGACCAGGAGGAAGTATCCAAAGCTGACCCAGAAATGACACCATTTGAGATATCTCTGAAGGATAAAAAGTATGTGAGTTTGTGAGGAGGGTACCTGCAGCTGTGTGACTAAATATGATACTTCAGTCCTCTGTATTTTTTTGCAGCTGGTCAGCAGCTGGATGAGAGACTTCATAAAACATGAAGCTGTTGAGGAGAGTAATTCTGGACACTGAGCAGATAGTGTTGGACAAGCATTCTGGCTTGTTATCAGGCAACAGCCTAGCTCTGAAAGCTCTGTCTTTTGCCTGACCTAGAGCCAGGGGTTTTCTGATAATTTATTCAGCAAATGTGGTCATAATTATGTCTCAGCTGGAAGACCATAGGTTCACAAAGGTGGTCTGGGAATCACTTTGTTCTTCCACATCTAGCTTGTGTTGTCTTGAGATACTAGATTTTATTTAAACTATGGAGACCCTCTACTCTCTGACTCAGTTTGGGCAGCTGCAGAGCAGTTCTGCCATTTCTGGATACTTCACAAAAACTTGGGCCATTGTTACCACTTGTCCTTCCTTCTCTTTGTCACAGCTACTTCCAGGCTGTCTGAGTAGACAGTGGTGTTTGCTCTCCCTGTGAAATGGTGCATCTCACAGTGGAGTGGAATACTGTTCTGTGAATAGTGGGATTTCTAAATCTGTGGTTTTGGTGCCTTTCCCCTTCATACACTGTGTGATAGCTGTCTTGCACTGCAGCTTTTCTGCTAGGGAAGGCACAGATGGGGCCTCTCTGCTGTTAACTGTGATGTAGTCAGAGTTATTCTGGCTTAAATGTATGGCCTTTGGGTTCTGAGGTGAGTTCTGGCATGAGAAGGCCTGGGGCTTTCAGCAGCCATGGCCCCACCATGGAAGGTGTGGGAGTTACGTGATCTTTAAGGTCCCCTCCAACCCAAACCACCTCTGATACCTGATGTCCTTTGTGCCCGTGGTGCTGGTCTGAGTTGTCAGCAAATCTGGATTAAGGACCTCAGGACTTTAAGGCTTAGGTCCCTGCAAAAGGTCAGGTGGTTACAGGGGAACTCTTTACTGCTTGGATGGCTCTTCTTGGCTGTGACGTTACCCACCATTGCTTGTTCTGTAGGTACCACGATGATTTTGGCCCTGTGCTGGAAGGATGCGGCTGTTACTGCTGTCAGAGGCACACCCGTGCCTACGTGCATCACCTGCTGGTGACCAACGAGCTGCTGGCCGGTGTCCTGCTCATGATGCACAACTTGCAGCACTACTTTGGCTTCTTCGGTGCCGTTCGGGAGGCCTTGAGGGACAGGAAGCTGGAGCAGCTCAAGGAGCTTGTCTTCAGGCAGGCGCTGCAGAGACAGTGAACGCAGAGAGGACAGCGGGGCCTGCAGGCTGCAGCCTCAGCCCGTGGGACTGTATCACCTGGACCTGGCATAGTAAAATGCCTTTAAAATGCCTTTTTTCCTTCCTGGAGGGACCTGAAGGAGATGTGTGAAGGAGATTTCTCTTCCTGGTGGGGAAGGATGATCTTGTTCAAACGCCTCTTCTGGTTAATTGGCTTGGTGCATTCTTGGTGGCTGGAAGGGCCTGGACGATTCACCAGTAAGACCAGTGTGGATGGTTTGTTTTCAGATACTCACTGTTGGTTTCCCATGTGCAGATAAAGCAGGGCATATACTTAAAATTAATCTGCATGGAGACTCAGCAGCTGCTTGGGACTCTTGTTCCATACTCCGCAGTAATTATTTTTCTAGAAAAAACTAGTGGTGTCCTAGTCTCTCATCATGTATGCCCTTAGTAAGAAATCCCACCTCAGTCTTTAAATACTGTCCTTGTAACCATTGCCAGCATCTGTGTCCCTGTAAAGAGCTGACTGGAAGTGCTGCTGTGTCTGGTGGCACAAGGGACTGTGTGTGCTCCTCTCTCAGGCCACCCACAGTGCAGAATGTTCCCTGGGCCTGGAAGAAGTCTGCCACTTCGGCCTGGCCTTGAGCACCCCTGCCAAAGGGGTCCCATTGAGTAATATTAGAGCCTGAGAGAAAAGAAAGTGTTTAATCCATGTCCTGCTGTAGGGCTTTTTTTTTTTTTAAATTCTGTGCACTTTTTTCAGATTTCACTCCTGTGGTAGCACATGGGTGACAATGTCTGTATCATCCTTTCCAGCCACCCTAGCACTGATCACAGAGCAGCCTGCACAAATGTCACTGTGCAATGGAGCTGTGGAAGGGAAGTGTCATGGGAAAGGACTTTCAGAAAATATTCTGGTGGGTCCTTGTTTCAGAGTATGACTTAGTTATGTTACATTCCTCTTGCTCAGTTGCGGTTTTTTACTGTCCCTCACTGTGGAATCATGGATTTAATAGTTTTATATTTCAAAGCAGCAATAAAATACATTTATTGTTTGTTTCACTGGCTCCTCAATGTGTGACAGAGGTGGTGTACCAGAGAGTTTGAACTCAAGAAGGTATCTCCTGAAAACTTGACCTAGCAGGCTGATGGAGGACATTATCTGGGAGTATCCTGTCATGGAGCAGGTTTCCAAGTAATTTGCTTCAAAAGAATGTCATAATAGACTTGGAAGTGTTGAAGAGAGCTGCCTGTCCTTCTCCCCATAAGGACTCTGCTGCCTTAATTACGCTTGAAAAAACACTACACTTCATGGCCTTAAAGCCATTAAGGATTAATCTGTAGTTTGCTCTTCACAATTTCTGCAATACTTTAAGATTATAATACCTCCTGTCAGAATGACTTTACCATAGAGAATAAGGGGTTTTTAGTTTTCCTGTCCCTTTGGGCAACTACACAAGGTTGTCATAATCCTTTATACCATTCCAGCTTTAGACACTCTGTTGCAGTAACTACACTTCTGTTCCACAGGATCCTAAAGAAATGGTGCAAATGCTGCTCTGCTGTTGTCTTCAGACAGATTACAGAGAATGATTCAGCCACAGAAATGACAAAATACAGAATTACCATCCTCACTCCAAGTAGTACTTTGTGGTTGATAAAATTGATACAGCACTGGGAAACTTAGAGGTGGTGTCCTGGGTATACAGTGTGAGGTAGAAGGTCTGCCTAACTTAAAGGACAAGAATTCTAATGAAATAAAAATGGTTTATGTTTCTTTCAAGACAAATACAGTGGTAGTGGACCTTGCAATGCTTGTTTCTGCAGTGCCTGTTTCTACAACGTTGCAAGTGCCTGTGGACAATCTTTTGGGAGGGGACAGATTTTGAAACTTCTCATTCACTGACACTCCTGTATCCACATATGGAATCACTGAAACGCTCGAGTCAGCCCAGCCCTCGGGGACCAGGATGGTTTATCCAACAGGTCAGTCATGGATGCTCTGTGATGACACACAGGACAAGGGGTGCAGGTGGTTGTGTCCTCCTCACATTTCCTGCATACTTCTTGGGTTGGTAACCTTAACTGCTAGTTTTGGAATTGCTGTTTATATCTTTTGGGGGCTACTTGTGATCACTCAAGTCTCTGTGAATCATTTGGGTTTAATAGTTTATCTCCCAGCCTGGATGTCCTCAGGAGATAAACATAGCTGTACTGGGATCTTAGTGTCCTGCTAAGCTGAGTGCCTGTAACGTGCTATTCTCAACAGCCCTTCTCGTCTTCTGGCTTCCCAGTCCTTCCATACTGCTGTGTTACGGTTTTCTCCCAGTCCTACCCATTAGGCTTTCCTGTTACAGTTCTCTGCTTAGCTTTTATGTGTGTGCACCTGGGCACCATGGCTGCACAAAGTAAACCATTTCATACTGGGCAGAATTTGACCAGCTACATCTTTCAGTATCTAACAAACACAAATGTCACTAACTCTGAAACCATCTCAATGTGTTGGATTTATACAACTTCTCAACATATCAGTCCCCTTAGTTCACACCGTAAAAAATCAGCAACATTTTTCATGCTAACTTAGAAAGTTTTAAAATCTATTTCCAGGCAGAGATCTTAATTTCTTTCAAAAACAGAATTCTTGCCCTAATATGGGGATGAAAACTGCATGAAGAAAGCTAAACTTCCCGTGGAGAAGTGAAAATTGAAATTAATAAGCAGTGGAAAAATGTCTGTGCTAAATTAACTTCACTAAGCATAGAAGACTGCAAAAGCATCTTTGACTGCCATCCATCCCCAAAGGGCAGAATATAAAAGAGCAGAGCAGAATACAAAAGAGATGGTGTGTTATAAAAACATTAGACCCTTGAATATCTTTTCCTTAGCAACCTTTAGTGTAATCTTCCCCTTAATAAAGAAAAACCTTTCACGCTGATGAGAATAACTGTCAGGGCCTCATGTTAAGGCCTGTGTCTTTCTGACCACTTCATCAGTATTCTGCTCAGTAACTTCCTTCTTCCAAAGCTATTTTAATGTTGCAGACTCTTCAGCAGTTTCAAAGGTATGCTTTGAAGTGTATTAAGGAAAAAAAATCAAATTGTCTTATTACAAAACAGTCTTCTTTCCTTCAGGGTTCTAATTCCCCCCTCTGCCCCCCACTGTTTATCCACCCATCCTGTAGATCACTAGGACAGTGTCCAAGACACCCACAGTGTATATTCAGCCTTCTCTGAATTTCTAAGCCTGCTCCTCTGTGGCCCTGCAGGATCACAGGAGCTGCCCAAGACTGGAAATGTTTCGGCAGGGTGTTCAATTTATTTCTACATCTATAAGGTCCAGCGGGTTTTCAGGTCATGGGATTTATGTGCATAGAAAATTTAGTTCCAGGTGTGTTTCAGAGGTGCTTTTAAGCATTGAGTAGCTTTATTTTTTCTTCATCCCAAACCCTGTTGGTTTTTGATTCACAACGTGAGGTGGCAGACAAAGGGCTCCAATAAAATGTTTAAGCCGTTCTCTCAGTGATTTCAGAGCTGTTTCCTCTGTGATGTGGAAGGCATGCATGAAACAGATGATGGTGCAGGCCAGTTCAATGGTTTTATTTGTAATTCTCTGGAGTGATCTATATAATTCACTAGGGACCTCATCTCTTTCTGGTAATGCAGCACTCCTTTGGACTTTTAAAGATGTTCAAGCATGTTAGCATCCTTTCTTATGCACATTCTGTAGGTATGACAGGACTTTTCAAACAAAAAGAGAATGAATTTAAATCCCTTCAAGAAGTTGGATCTAGACTGGTAAAGTTGGTGCTGGGACAAAAATGGTGCACTAAAATGTTCTTGCTTCCCTGTTTCTGTTGCCAATGTGACCGGTGTCTGTCGCAGTACACAGTCTCCTCCCTGGGAACATATTGACTTGGAAAAGCAACACCTTTCCTGCCTCACAATGAGGTGATGATGAACTGCCTGGCTAAGTCTCCATCTGTTGTCTGTATGTTTCAATTCCATTGGTCACGTGAAGGAGCAACACAGTGGGATGCTCTGTCGTGCTGACACAGCTCCTCCAGCTCCTGGCCTTGCTTACTGCCCATTATTGCAAAATCTTTGGAGAAAGCCTGCTCTGTTCTCAGCTATCTGTGTGTCTGAACATCTTGCAGAGCTCTTTGGGAAGCAGTTTTGGATGAGAAGGGGTTATGTGGTTAACCATGATTATTCCAAGCCTCTAAAGCATGAAAATCTAGGAATCTGTTAAGTGAGGACCAAAGGTAAAGGAATTGTAAATAAAGGCATTTGCATCTGCCAGACAGCTCAGGATCAACCAGCTTTCTGTCTTCCCTATGCTTCTGCTACTGTGTAAAGCATTTTCTGGCTCAAGGGAGCAGCCAATGCACTGGGAGAGGCAATGGCAGTGGTTCATGCAGAGGCTCTGCAGGACAAGTGTATCTTACTGCCCATACCTGCAGAGTTGATTGATTTGCAGGGTGCTGATCAAGAAAAGACCTAAAAACTATGGCACTTATATGCAATGGCCCAGCACAAAATTCCACAAAGAAAGGAGGGTTCCAAGGCCCTTTGGCCAGAGTTCCTGGACCCATCGCTGCGCTCTGTGTGTGACACCTTGTGCTCTTGAGCTGGTGGATGAGTTGCAATGCATGACACGAAGGTGGCTTTGTAGCAAGGCTTTGTCCTCACAGCTCCCTCCTTCCACAGGAGAACATCTGGTTTGCCTCTTGATGAGGCAATCAGGGGAGGTATTGATGCAGCCAGCATCCTGCAGGAAGTCAGCAGAGTCTACGAATCTGTCTTGAGCTCTTTTATACTGCCCTTCCTGGGCCAGAATGGAGCCATCTACAAAGTAATGTCAACTTCAGTGGTACTGTGTGCTGAAAAACAGCTGAAGAAACCAGCCCTTAGGAAAGCCAGATGCTTTCCTCAGACAAAGCTGAACTGGGATGAGAGAACAGACTGGCAGGAAGCCGAAGTCTTTAAAGGGATGCAGCCTCTTCAAGAAAGGGAACAGGAGATGGAGCGTCTGGGAGGAAGGAACATAGGCAAACAGGATGATTAGGATTTGGCAAGGCCAGCAAAAAAAAGGAGTAGGAGCTGAGCAGTATGTCTGTGGGTAGCACTGCCAGCATCAAGTTGCAGAAGCCACTGGTATGTGCCTTTTTCCATCCCTTGTTTTGTGCGCATCTCGAGGAGGAAGAAGCATTCTGTTGTGGTTCAGGGAAGTCAGCAATGGATGCAAAAAGGCAAAAGGCCACGGAGCAATGCTGGTGGCCTTCAGAGCTGAGGCTGACAGAGGTACCTAGTTCTGGACTCAAATCTGGTACCTGGCTCCCCTGTTGCCCACAGCCAGTGCCATCTCAAATATTCAGGGGAGTCCTGTAGCAACAACCATCTGCTCACGTCCCTTGACCTCACCCCCACAGAGAGACAGAAGTGCTGCTGCCTCTCACCTAAGGCAGAGCAAGGTGAGCAGTCCACCTGCACCACAGCCCTTCTGCCCTGACATGGGATGGCAGAAAGAAATGTATTTTTGCTTCTGTCCGGTGAAAAGTGGTCTTTATTTGGGCTGTTCAATTTGCCATGCTCACAGCTGTGCAGTAAAACTTATTAAAACTGACAGGAGTCCCCAGGGCAGGAAGCCAGAAAGGTCTTCCCCACATCACCAAAGATACAACAAGCCTAATGCTTGTCTCACAGAGATGCTTAAATTAATTAATTTTTAATTATGTTCATTTTCTTCTTTGGCCCCAGGGGTTTTCTTTGCCTCACATTTCCAGAGACATTCAGGGATGAGACCAGTGTCTGGCAGGAAGAGATTTACTCCCAGAATCACAAAGGAAGCTCAGGAGAATTCCTGGCCTGGGCCTCAGAAAATCTATCCCTGTTGAAGAAAGGTGTGGTTGGCATCAGAGCTGGTGGGCTCCTGATCTGACACTTGAGGCAGTAAGGAACCAAGGAAAGGTGGCATGAGTGATGCCATGAAGGCATAACAAGAAAGGTCACTGCTATGTGTTAAGATTGACTGTGTGGGGAGTAACAGAGAATAACTGGATCAGT